CATGCAGAGCAGAGAAAAGCTTGTGTGTGTTTTACCAGCACCTGCTGAAGACAGAATACGAAATGCTCAAATCTCAAATTGTATACTACTTTCTTTCCCCGTGTTGTTCTGTGGCGCCATTATATAGAATAGACCTATTTAAAAATGAAAAAGTTGACCAATTCCTTCGAAGACTTAACGAACTCTCTTCACAAACAAGTCTTATATTCGGTAAACCATCTTTTGGACAGCAGTTGTATTTACTAATCGAATCATATGGGTAAGCCTGGGTAAGGAACCAAAGTTTTGTCTGCATACAAAAAAGCCATTTCTGTCCAGGCAAAATTCAAGTTCTAGAACATAAATTCCATAAATGGAAGAAAAACTAGAATTTTCTGATGGAGTTTACAGCCGGTGAAGGCCGAGAAAATGAGACAACTTTCCTTAAGACTTTTCTAGTCGATCCTAAAATCATTTGTGCAAGAGTGAGTGAGTGACGTGTGACCCCGCCGAGACCGAACAATTAGCGATAAATACCTGTTGATACAAAGTGCCATAATTCAGATGAGATTCACCCAGGTACAAGTCCCAAAAACCCCGTTCAACCGTTAGGTTATAGTAGGGCCCCGCGACAATGGCCGGGCTGGGGGATTAAAACAACAACAATTTTTTTTCATAATATTGGGGCGGAAATTGTTGCGGGAGACAGAGCACCTACGTTTGTATACGTTGTCTTATGGAGTCGATTCTTAGTCGAGTCCTTCCCTGTTTGAGTTCCCAGGCTCAATTTCGAGGTAAAATAGTAGACTTACTATCACCTAACCAGCATATAACAGCAACAGCTTTCAGATATTCTTTTCAGCAGTTTTTAGATACAAAACTGAAATATCACAGACGTAAATACATAATCCGTTTATTTGAATACAAATGTACAGGCTTGAATAGAATTAACAAGAGAGACACAAGGCAGATAACCATGGAGTGGGTGATCACTGCAGCTCCTCATGGCGTGGTGATCATTAGGCAGATAACATGGAGTGAGGCTCCCCCCATCCCCCCAACCACATTAAAAAAAAAATCATGGAGTGGGTGATCACAAGGCAGATACATCAGTCACTGGCTCCATCTGAGGCTCCCCCTCCTAAAAAAAAATGGTCTGAGGGCACTCTCCTCTTCCTCAGTCTCCCCCCCCCCCCCACACACACACACACAAACCATGTTGAGAAGCTTTAAGTTCTCTTTATAAGTTTATGTTGATAATATTGTATTATTTTAAACATATTGTAATATTTATTCAGCATTCTGCACTATATTTATTATTATTACCAACTTGAGCGAGGCTAGTTTCACATGAGCCCTGTCCGTAAAACAATTGTTTAATTGGACTGAGTCAAAAGTGATGTAAAGGACATCAATGTGACACGATTTTTGACAAGCTTTTGTCACGGCGTAAAGATGATGTCACTACACTAGGTAATTTATGCTGTTTAATATCACAGGCTGTGGAGAAGTATGACCCTCCACGTCAGCCGTCAAGGCACTTGATGAAGATGATGATGATGATGATGATGATGATGATGATGATATGTTGAGGGCTCAAATCCATACCCAAGCTTCTTCCTCTTCTTCTTAAAGTCCATTCCGTGTGGCGCTGGTGATCATGTCTATTCACAACCTTCTGTCTCGTGTACTTTCAATCAGCTCTGACACAGGTGATCCTCCATGCCATGATGTCAAACTGTCCAGCATTTGTTCTCTCGCTCTCGCCCCCCCCCTCCCAGCTTTCCTAACATCACGATGTACTCCAGTTTTCCTAACATCACGATGTACTCCAGCTTTCCTAACATCACGATGTACTCCAGCTTTCCTAACATCACGATGTACTCCAGTTTTCCTAACATCACGATGTACTCCAGTTTTCCTAACATCCCGATGTACTCCAGTTTTCCTTACATCACGATGTACTCCAGTTTTCCTAACATCACGATGTACTCTAGCTTTCCTAACATCACGATGTACTCCAGCTTTCCTAACATCACGATGTACTCCAGTTTTCCTAACATCACGATGTACTCCAGTTTTCCTAACATCACGATGTACTCCAGTTTTCCTAACATCACGATGTACTCCAGTTTTCCTAACATCACGATGTACTTCAGCTTTCCTAACATCACGACGTACTCCAGTTTTCCTAACATCCCGATGTACTCCAGTTTTCCTAACATCACGATGTACTCCAGTTTTCCTAACATCATGATGTACTCCAGTTTTCCTAACATTACGATGTACTTCAGCTTTCCTAACATCACGATGTACTCCAGTTTTCCTAACATCACGATGTACTCCAGCTTTCCTAACATCACGATGTACTCCAGTTTTCCTAACATCACGATGTACTCCAGTTTTCCTAACATCACGATGTACTCCAGCTTTCCTAACATCACGATGTACTCCAGTTTTCCTAACTTTACGATGTACTCCAGCTTTCTTAACATCACGATGTACTTCAGCTTTCCTAACATCACGATGTACTCCAGTTTTCCTAACTTTACGATGTACTCCAGCTTTCTTAACATCACGATGTACTTCAGCTTTCCTAACATCACGATGTACTCCAGCTTTCCTAACATCACGATGTACTCCAGCTTTCCTAACATCACGATGTACTCCAGTTTTCCTAACATCACGATGTACTCCAGTTTTCTCCTTCTGATCATACAACAAAAGAATGTAGATTGTCTCTTTCTGATGTGGGCTATTCATTTCTCTTCGTGAGTCAGTTTCTTTTCAAGACATCTTCACTACTTTTTTCATATGTCCAGGATATTCTTATTATTCTCCTACACAACCACATCTCAGGGGCTTCCAAATAAGTTTTCACTAATTTACCAAATGTCCATGATTTACTTCTGTATATCAAGATAGGATTGATGACACCCAAGCAAATGTTTTTAATTGACTTAATTATCCCCATTTCGACCTAGGCTAAAATAGGCTCATGAAATGTCCAGGGAAGTAAAATCGGCCAGCGCCATTTTGAACCAATCATCCACCGAGTGCCAGTTGAACACATAAAATATAAGGGCATTTTTCGAAAAAAGTTGCCGGTGCTCAAAGCGTATAAAAACAGGTTTCTCTACTCACCGCAAAAGTTTATTTGCTTCTTCTTCTGCGTTCGACATCAGTCATGCTACACATTGAGTCCCGTCTGGGTCAAAAAAAAAGGATTGTGCGTTTAAGGTCGCCACCGGTCCCCCATAGCTTCTCTCGCAATGTGGATCCCCTGGGCCAGATCCACAGTCTTAAACCGCAAAGTGTTTATTATTAGTAGTGTTTAAAAAATGTGCGCCAAAAGGGTACTACAGCCAGTGACTAGAAAAAAAGGGGGCGCCCAAAAACAACATGGAGACGAACGATGGAAAGTGACCTGAGTGCGGCATCCCTGACATGGAAAACTGAACTGAAGATTGCACAGGACAGGAAGGCATGGAAAGTCCTATCTGAAGCCTTATGTGCCACTAGGCATAAAGAGATATATGATATATATGTATATATATATATATATATATATATATATATATATATATATATATATATATATATATATAGAGAGAGAGAGAGAGAGAGTGAAAGAAAGAGAGTATTGTGCATCACTGCGTATCAACAGAAAAATGTCCCGGTACTCAATGTGTCTCAAAAAAGGTGCTGGTACTCATTACAGACGGAGCCGCCGTGGTGTGGCGGCTAGACGGTAGTCTACAGAACAGAAGCTCGTGCGTTTGGATCCTGATGGAGCCTGACTTTGCTTTATCCTGTTCAAATCTGACCTGCACTCCCAGGTCACATAATCGTGTTAGTGTCAGAGATGATTCGTTATCAGCCAGCTAATCCAAACTGTAGCTAGTGTAACCAACTTCTCATAGAAACAAACCGTAGATACCTTGTAGTCACTTTCGAATAGGAGGATGAGCGAAACTGAACTCTACTAGGACCAAACACATCAATTAACACCCGATGACACAAAGTGTCAACTTTTCGGATGAGATGCCCTCAGGTACCAATCCCAAAACATCCTGTTCAACCTTAAGGTTATATTGGGGCCACAGAGGGTTACACAGTAACCTGAAATCCCGACAGGAGTGATGAAGAGTTCATCCAAAGTAGTAATGATCAATGATTATGAGTACGAAGATGGCTGCTAAGTCCAAAATAAGCGAGGAAAGTTCTTTAGCAGTGCGGACAACAGATGGAAGCTGCAGTAAGTGAAGGATTAGCGATACGGTTCTTTCTAGTCTGCCTCCGTTTTTCTGCCTCTGCAACCTCCGCTCACTGGCAGGCCGATGCATCATGTCTGAAGGATATACGCCATCCAGAACGGTTATGTGCAGTAGCCTCCCACGACGCTGTGTTGATGCCAAAAGAGTTGAGAGCAGTTTTCAAGAGTATCCTTATAGTGCTTTTTCTGTCCTCCCTGTGACGTCTTCCCGTGCTGGAGCTCCCCATAAATTACTCTCTTTGGGAAAGAACCCGACAGGGTATGGCGCATATAACGATGGATGGGAAGACCAACTAAGCACGAAAACAAATTAGGTAAGTTTTATCATACCATGATATCACACTAGTGATAAACACTCGGTGACACACAGGGCCACCATGCGGATGAGGGTCACCCGTGGAGAGGTCCCAGAAACCGCGTTTAACCGTCAGGCTATATCGCGGGCCCGGTAAAATGCCGGCGTGGGGCTTCGATATAACGAAAAATTGCGCCCCTCAAGGAGACGATCTGTGTTAGTACAATAAGCACGCACAGGAATGCCCAATGTGCAGTGACGTTAATTGTGGTAACATAACATGACAATTTCACAATCACGAAGGAATTAATTTAACAACTAAATGACACACAATGAGTTAAGACAATCAATTCATTAGGTAGCTACTAATAAACGTCTGCTGAGTTGTTTAGTACGGAATGAGTTAAGGTACTTTGGGCGTCTTCAGTTCAAATAAAAAAAAAAAAAAATTTAAAATAGCACTCGACTATGTATAAACAGAGCATAAAGGGAGATGATCACTGAGACGATGCTGTGACTTTCAACGGGAGCATTGTTTCCCTTGGTCGTGGGGCTGGTCGTGGGGCTGGTCGTGGGGCTGGTCGTGGGCGTTTGTGGACTGGGACACTGTCTGACTGCGGTATCTGTGGACAAAAGAGGAAAGAAACAAAAACAATTAAATTATTTATCGGCTCAGGGTGTCGATACTAGCTAGGAAGCGTGTATGTAACGGGTGCAATCGGCGCTGAGGCTTTCCTTCTTTCTTTCTTTCTTTCTTTCTTTCTTTCTTTCTTTCTTTCTTTCTTTCTTTCTTTCTTTCTTTCTTTCTTTCTTTCTTTCTTTCTTTCTTTCTTTCTTTCTTTCTTTCTTCCTTCTTTCTTTCTTCCTTCTTTGTTTCTTCCTTTCTCTCTTTCTTCCTTTCTCTCTTTCTTCTTTCTTTTCTTTCTTTTCTTTCTTTTTTCTTTCTTTCTTTCTTTCTTTCTTTCTTTCTTTCTTCTTTCATTCTTTCTTTCTTTCTTTCTTTCTTTTTTTCTTTCTTTCTTTCTTTCTTTCTTTTCTTTCTTTCTTTCTTTTCTGTTTTTCTCTTCTTCTTTCTTTCTTTTTTTTCTTTCTTTCTTTCTTTTCTTTCTTTCTTTCTTTTCTTTCTTTCTTTCTTTCTTTCTTTCTTTCTTTCTTTTCTTTCTTTCTTTCTTTCTTTCTTTCTTTCTTTCTTTCTTTCTTTTTCTTTCTTTCTTTCTTTCCTTTCTTTCTTTCTTTCTTTCTGTCTGTCTGTCTGTCTGTCTGTCTGTCTGTCTGTCTTCTTTCTGTCTTCTTTCTGTCTGTCTGTCTGTCTGTCCTGTCTTCTGTCTGTCTGTCTGTCTGTCTTTCTGTCTGTCTGTCTGTCTGTCTGTCTGTCTGCTTTCTGGCTTCTTTCTTTCTTTCTTTCTTTCTTTCTTTTCTTTTTTTCTTTCTTCTTTCTTTCTTTCTTTCTTTCTTTCTTTCTTTTCTTTCTTTCTTTCTTCTTTCTTTCTTTCTTTCTTTCTTTCTTCTTTCTTTCTTTCTTTTTCTTCTTTCTTTCTTTCTTCTTTCTTTCTTTCTTTCTTTCTTTCTTTCTTTCTTTCTTTCTTTCTTTCTTTCTTTCTTTCTTTCTTTCTTTCTTTCTTTCTTTCTTTCTTTCTTTCTTTCTTTCTTTCTTTCTTTCTTTCTTTCTTTCTTTCTTTCTTTCTTACTTTCTTTCTTTCTTTCTTTCTTTCTTTCTTTCTTTCTTTCTTTCTTTCTATTCTTCTTTCTTTTTTTTCCATCATAGTGCTTGGGGAGCCGCCGTAGTCTAGCGGTTAGACGCTCAGCTGCGGATCGGAAGGTCGTGGGTTCGGTTCCTGACGATGGCTGGATTGTTTTCTTTAAAAATGACCTTGGTTCCCAGGTCCACTGAACCTTGAGCGGGTGCTAGGTGCAGTCCGGGGAAGTAACGGCGGCCGGCACGATGCTGATTACATCACCCATCAAGTGCCGTTGGTCTAAAAAATATAGGTCTAGCCCTATATACCCAAATACGTCTGAAAGGTGTGAACAATCGTCCTTTACTGTTATCCTAGTGCTTATACCGTGAAGCGTCGTAGAGTTATATGTAGTTTCCTGTCATATGCTAGATGTATAGCTTGTGTTAATGTCATACTACGTTGCTTTAGCCTCTTTTACTCCCACCACCCATCTCTTTCTTGGTCTGCTTCTTGCCTTGTAGCCTGCTGGTTTCAAGTACTAGGCTCTAGCTTCTGGCTAATTACGTTCCATTATGAACAGATAACCAAAGCATTTATGCTTTGATGTTCTATGAAAATTTTCACACGTTCCATTGCAAAAGAGAAATGCATTATTTGACTACTTTTTATTACTTTTTTTTTACCATTACGCCGCTCAGTTTATGTCTACTCGACAGTGTTGCCACTTTGGATCTTTTACATCCAGATATAGATGTTTTCTCTTGCATATAGGTGGCGTTTTTGACGTTTAGATGGTAGATGTTCTTCCAGAAGTTTTTCATTTGGAGTGAATTTATCAAATCTAACCTAAGAAACAGGATGAAATTTGACCTCTTAAATGCTATCTTGACAATAACATTCGGCCTGATAAGAGTGGGAAAAGGCTATTCCATTTATCAGCTCCCTGATTGGGTATCAAAAGAAATTAGAACAGCTAAACCACACCAGTCATTTTGGATCTGAAGCTTCAACTTCATCATCCAAGCTAAGTTTATTCTGTGGATCTTTTGAGGCAGACTTCAATAAAGATGAGGACATGATTCTATAGGGTAAGTCATATCAACTGCTATGTTATTTGTGACTCTTTCCATTTGGATGTTTTTCTAGATGTGTTTAGATATTTTTTGACTCCGTTTTAGATGTTTTTTGCCAAAGAAAGGTGGCAAAACTGCTACTCGAGCAAGTAAAGCTTGTTAACAGTATTAACATAGCGAAAAGAACTCTCACTGCACGTTTACGCTACTCCTGCAAAAACTATAACGTTTGACAGATACCATTTACTAATACTACGATGCTAGCTGCGACACGCATGCTATCAACAATGAAGCGACAAGAAGGAAAATATCACATGATACCCTCTTCAGTATAATCGTTAGCTGCAAACGCCTAATTTTATCTAAAGCGCTCACACATGCGAATTCATCATGCCTTTACTAAATTACTAATAAACTACAGCCATTCATTAACTTAATGGTCCTCTCCCATACAGGACATCGGGTTACATCAGGACACAACACACCCACACGGAACTACAGGTTACACTAGGACACAACACCCACACGAGACTACAGGTTACACTAGGACACAACACCCACACGGGACTACAGGTTACATCAGGACACAACACACCCACACGGAACTACAAGTTACACTAGGACACAACACCCACACGGGACTACAGGTTACATCAGGACACAACACACCCACGCGGAACTACAAGTTACACTAGGACACAACACCCACACGAGACTACACGTTGCATCGTTATCGATTTGTGTTGATCACGTGATCAGTTCGAAGTTACCATGTTAATCCAGTGTCTGATTTTGCATTTCCCGTGGATAGATGTAGATCAACTCGACAATGTGGTTTATGCATTTCAGCAAGAAAAAGATTCATTCTGTGCTTCATTGCATCATGATTTAAAACTGTAGTAATGCACCTGACGTGATACAACGAAATAAGCCTGGCAATAAATTGTGCAATGAATTGTTTAAATTTACAACGGGAAAACATTGTTTTGAGTTTTGTGCTGCCCTCAATACAATTGTGCTTTTTGGCTATACAGTTGAACGGGATTTGGCAGATTTATAGCTGTTGGGTTCTCATATTTGTGATGTGAATCCACGGCCAACTAAAGCTTTTTATAAGGCCATCCAGGTCAATGGAACTTCCCGTTCTTGTGCAACTCCGAGGTGGCCGGTGTGTGTTCACTATGTTTTCCGAGCAGATTTATACACAAATTAAACTACAGTTTAATTAATTTGCAACATGTTTTTTTAATTTTTATTATTTTGAAGATAAATTGGGGGAAGATAAATATAGTGAAACAGACAGAGAAAAAGTATACCATCTAGGAAAAAACAGAAAAGAATGGGAGTTATTAGCATAAAAACACTTGGAGACATTCTCAGGAGGAGATCGGAGCTTTTATGGTCATGTCCGATGTCTGATGAAGATCATCTTCGTATGAACAATGAACAATGAACGGCAACATAGAAAACCTTGTAACTGCCACTTATTCTCGGACGTCCCAAGAATAATGATTGGTATAATCAGGGGGTGATTGGGCCGCTTTATTGCATAGAGATTAGTGAATGCGTTTAACAATTTGACTATCATCGACTACTAGGGTTTGAATTCGGACAGTTTATTTCAAAAACTCGTTTTCGGGCCTTCAGTATGAGAATCGCATTGTGCAATAGATTGAGCCCTCACGTAATATTCATAAAAGTGAGCCCGCTAAGCTACATCAACAGACAACAGGTCGAATGGCTCGGATATATGTCAAAATACGACCAAATAGTGCACCAATGAAAGTCCTGTCACTTAGACACGACGGAAGCAGACCTGGAGGTCTACCGTGCAAGCGATGGATAGATGGAATATCTTAGGCCATAAATACAAACATCTACATAACACATGGTATATAACACGGTTTTAAAGGAAATTAGAGAGCAGATAAGTTGGCAAAAGCTGGAAGTAATCTTCTACAACCTCATCCACCACACAGCTACAAGGAAACCAAAACAGCACTAAAGCCGTCTTTCAAGCGGGAGTGGAGAAGGCAGAATGGAGATTACAGACCAGAGAGTAACAGCAAAAAACAAACTCAACAGGAAAGAACAAACATCAATTTTTTAGACTTCGGACTGGATACTGTGGTCTTCGAGCACACCTGTACAGGATAGGCATAAAAGAATCTGCTGCCTGTGATTGTGGAGCAGAAAGTCAGACCCCTGGGCACATACTGCAGTACTGCCCTAACTCTCCCAGCAAAGACTGTGGATCTGGCCCAAGGGAGCCACATTGCAAGAGAAGCTATGGGGGACCGGTGGCGACCTTAAACGCACAATCCTTTTTGTGACCCAGACGGGACTCAATGTTTAGCATGACTGATGTCGAACGCAGAAGAAGAAGAACATAACACACACAAAGGGTTTCACCAAATGACTCTGCAAAATCTGATGCTGACAGATAGAGCAGCGTCTAGATAAAACAAACGAAAGAGTTATGATATCATTTCACACTTAAGTTTTATGAGCTATGCACTCTCGACTTGACACAAGGGCTAGTCGTGAGCAGTTAGTCCAGGCTTCAACATCGCTGCAGACAGAAGCCCCACAGTAGCCCCACTTTTGTGCCAATGGACATCATACGGAATGTTCCAGTTGAAAACCAGTGAAAAATGTGTTAGCCCGCGACAAAATCCCGAAGTTTACACACACAAAGTAAAAATGCACAATTGCCAGATGTGCCAACACTAACAACCCCGTAACAGAATTGCAGCTAACTGTTGGGCAAATTGAGCAAGCGGTCAGTCGCGTAAGCCGGCACTGCACTGGCAATGGTACATTCAAATCAAACGTGTACGCAATGACAAGACAATCGCGGTACGTTGGAAT